AATTAACCTAGAAGGTAACACACACACACAGGAAATTAATGTGAGTCAACTCCCTGTATAGCTATCCTTATCTCAACTAGCAAAAACCCTTGTTCCTTCCTATTATTTCTTATACTCTCTCTACAACAAAATTAGAAATAAGGGCAAAATAGTTTCTGCTGGGTATTGAGGGGGTGGTGGGGAGAGGAAGGGGACGGAGTGGGTGGTAAGGGAGGAGGTGGGGGCAGGGGGGAGAAATGACCCAAGCCTTGTATGCACATATGAATAATAAAAAATAAATAAATAAATAAATAAAATGTAAAAAAAAACTTTTAAAAAAGTTTCCTTTTCATAGAGCTACTTGCAGAGCCATGTTCATTGCAGCACTATTAACAGTATCCAAGCTTTGGAAACAATCCGGGTTTCCCAAAACTAATGAATGGATTAAGAAAATGTGGTATAATACACAATGGAGTATTATTCAGCCATAAAAAAGAATAAAATTATGTTGTTTGCAGGTAAATGGATAGAACTGGAGAACTTCATGTTAAGTGAGGTAAGTCAGGCTCAAAAAAGTCAAAGGTCTGCATGGAAGATAGACCTTTGAGTTATATGTACACATAAATACATATATGACCTTTTATATATAAATACATATATATATGTAGTGAAAGAGAACAAGACTGTGTTAGTGGGTCTATCTGAAGGGACTACAGGAGGCAAGAGCAGGAAAGAGAATGTTAGAAAGAAAAATATTTAAACTGCCAGTGCCAATATTGAAACTTCCAGGTGCCAGTGGCTCACAGTGACTCATGCTTGTAATCCTAGTTACTGTTGGGAAAAACCCAACACAAAAAAGGGCTGGTGGAGTGGCTTAAGGTGTAGGTCCTGAGTTCAAACCTCAGTACCACAAAGAAAAAAACTGAAATGACTCAACTATATATAAATATAGTACAATGCTAATGGGACAATTGGGAAGTTAATCTGATTACAACACGATTTATAAATTTCTCAAATGCCAAGGTGAAACCCCTTTGAACTATCAATGTGCACTTAAAAAAGACTGAAGGACTGGAAGGTAAAGCAGGTCCTCTCCAGGGAGGGTACCAGTGGTAGGAAAGGGTGAATAAAGGTGAATATGATGGATGTATTTTGTATTCATATATGAAAATAGAAGGATGAAAAACCTGTTGAAATTGTTCTAAGAAGGGAGGAGAGAATGAGGGAGAATGATGGGGGGTCATGAATCTAAGATATATTATAAGCGCATATGTAAATATCACAACTATTATATGTGAATAATAAAATTAAGTGAGCAAAATCAACTTAAAAAAAATAAAGTCTCCTTCTCTCTGTCTCCCCTCCAAACAGTTCTCCTTTCCAGAAACCCTACCATCCACTGCAGAGACATTTCACACACGTACAAGCCAATACAGACATGGCGCCCTCCTGCTCTTTTCCCACTCTCTTCTACTCCTTGTTTTTTCCCTTTGCAGTCAGTCTGCCTGGGCAACCATGTCATTGTGGATTCAAAGGATCTTCATCCCTGTCTCTTCGGCTACCTAGTGTTCTGCTGTATGAGCACAGGGCAACTTACTCAACAGGTCCTCGTGGCCACTTCAGAGCCTGTGCTCTCAACTGTGTTAAGGCTCCTCTGAGTGGGACAGTACAGGCCTCACCACCTCCTCCAGGCATCACATAATTCAAAGTCCTCATTCATCAATTCATTCCAGGGTTTCCTGCTTAGCAAGCATTGCATACCTTGGTTTATGGACTCCTCAGCCCTAAAGGAGGAGGTCAGTTAGAGGAGTGGCGCAAGTGAAGAATTGCAAAGTTAAAACACTGAGCACTGTAAGCAGAGGGGTGAGAGAGGTTGCACTGAGCCAGTCGCCTGTCCAAGGTTTCACTGTTTCCATTCCCGGCCACATTCTTCCCAAGGTTTCTGGGTCAGGAAACAAGACCCTTGAGCCCCCACCACCCAAGTCAAGATCATCTCATCAGACAGGAAGCAGACTACATCGCTCCTGATCGAAATCCTTCAAGAAGGCCAAGCACAGTGATACACATCTGTAATTCCCGCCATTTGGGAGACTGAGGCAGGAGGAATGAAAGTTCAAGGCCAGCCTGGGCTTCATAGTGAGACTCTAAAAAAAAAAAAAACTATATGAAAAGATTAGCAAATGAGTATATATCTTCCCTCCCCCCGCCACACACACACACTGGGGATTGAACTCAGTGTCTTGTGCATGTTTAGTACATGCTCTATCACTTGGGTCACATCCCAGAATTTTCATTTATATTTTGTTTTTTGAGATCAGGTCTTCGTAACTTTGCCCTGGCTGGCCTTGAATTTGAGATGTTCCTACCTCTGCCTTCCAAGTAGTTGGGACTGCAGGATATACCACTATACCCAGCTAAAATGTATCTTTCAGATAAAAAAAAACCTCTAGAATTCTTCACCACTCTGAGCATAAAGCCCGTAGCTTGAGGCCTTACATAATCCAACCCTGTGGGTCCTATACCTCCACTCCAGGCACAGTGGTCCTTCTGTGCCCCTTAGGCTCCCCAGGGGACTTCCTATCTTAGTGCCTCTGTGCTGGGTGTCTCCTCTGCCTGGAACCCTCTGTGACCTCAGTATCAAGCCCCATTCTGAAAAGTCACCTGTATTTCCCTGTCTAAATCAGTCTCGTTTTTCCTATCCAAACACACTGCTCAGTTCCTCCCTAGCAGGTATTGAAACCTGTAATTATTTCATTTGTTTAATTACTTCTTTGTCATTCCCACTAAAGTAAAGTTCACAGCGGCAGGCATTGGGGCCTGAGTCATTCATCATGTATCCTGGTCGTGGGCAGTTGCCATCAGGAAAGCCCATGCTGAGATGGAATTTGGAATGCACAGTTGTTATTAGGAAGCAGTCCCTGAGAAAAGAGTAGGGTGGGAGAAGGGTTGGACAAAGGAAAAAGCTGCAGTGCATCTCAACCAAGCAGGCAGAGAACTCTGGAGGACTGCCCACTGGACTTCTCCACTTGGTGCAGAAATGTCTGTGCCAGCTTTGCCAGGCACAGTGGTACACATCTGTAGTTCCAGCTACTCCAAAGGTTGAGGTGGGGAGGTTGACCTGAGCCCAGGATTTTGAGACCAGTCTGGCCAACAAAGTGAGACTCCATCTAAAAAAAATTTTAGAAAGTTCAGACTTCTAAATTCCTTTCTTGTCTGTGGCCAGTTAGGAGCAGTCCCAAGATAGTGTGACCTTGAGCAAGGCAGTGATCTGCAGTGGGTAAGGTTACTGCAGGTCCTCTCAAAGTCTCCCTTAGGAAAGCCTTGGGAAAAGGTTTAGGATGCCCAGGAACCTTTTGTATTCCTGTGTCTGAGTCCTAAAGTGAGGTTGTCTTCACGTATCCTTTCCCAAACCAGCTACCTGTCAAACAGGGAAGCCCTCTTGCAGGACTAGGGTTTGAACTCAGGACCTTCCACTTGCTAGACAGATGCTCTACCACTTGGTCGAACCTCAAGCCAGCAATTTCTTCTGGAAGGGGCTCCACAGTGCCTCTCTTATGTCTACCTTGATTCTCAATCCTAGCACAGTGTCTGGCAAGTAAGTTGGCACTCAGCATTTATTAAATGAATGAATGGATAGATAGATGGATGGACAGTCAATTGAATCTTGAAGTTTGAGTAGGATTCAGAGAAATGAATAAGACAGGAAATGTGGATTCCAGGCATAAGACTTGGTTTGTGCAAAGGCAGACAGGCACGAAGAAAACATGGACCGACCACTCCTAAAACCGCATAAGTTAAGATAGGGTCAGATCACTGCAGCAGGGGGATAGAAGAGTGAAGTTCAAAGGCCAGTGGGCAGGGGCCTTTTATTTTACACTTGAATTTCATCCTACTGGCAAGAGGAAGTTTTAGAGGGTTTCAAGAAGCAGGAGGACATGACCAGTGGTTTTAGGAAGATTATCTGGATGGCTCTTCCGAGGATAGTTGAGGAGAGCTGGCTGGGAGGCAGGAGGCCCAGTAGGAGTCAGTTTCAATCAGGCTGGGCCAGGTGCTGTAAAACATGGACACTGGAGAAGGAAGGGAGCAGGAGCAGAACGTGGTAATGGGAGGCAAGGTCAAGAAGGAAGCTAAGGTCAAGCCTGGGAACTACCAACACTTTAGAGCTGTCAGTAAAGAGTAAACATCAAGAAAGAATAAGAAGGAATGGCAAAGGGAAACAAAACAGGAAAGAACTGAGCCATGGGAGCACAGGGGAGAGAATGGACCAAGAAGAAGAGGGTCAAAGGGTAAAGGCCATTAAGAGGTCTAGTGAGATAAGGACTGAAGGTGCCCCTCCATTTGGTTATCAGGACAAAATTCTGACTGGGAACAGACCCAGTGGGGCAGAGCACTATCTGGCCATAATTAGTCACTATTTTTTGTGTGTGTGTACTGGGGTTTGAACTCAGGGCCTCACACTTAGCGAGGCAGGTACTCTACCTCTTGAGCTACTCCACCAGCCCTCCGTCAGATTTGGGACTTGGGTTTCTGATGTGCACTATTGAGAAGTCCTTTATTTGACTTTATGCTTCAGTTCAGAGTCCCCCACAATCCAACTACATTGATGCTCTGAGAACCATGTGACCTTCATGGCTGGGTCCAGTCCTCTTCCTTGGAGGAAGGAAGTGGAAGGAGCCCAGTGATATATCAGGGTCATAGGACTGAGGCCACTAGTGAGGAGTCCCCATTTCTTCTGGGGTGCTGGGTCTAGCTGGGTTCTACAATTGCTTCCATTAATCTGAACTGCCCTGGTGCTCAGGTTCAAAGAGAGGCCACAGGTGGCCAGGTTTCCATGCCTTCCGACTCAGGTTCCCCTTGCTGCCCCCACACAGGACACTGGACTCCCCCACCAAGTGGCCCATTGTATGACCTCAGTTTCAATGAGGACAGAAACTGAGTTAAGGAAATAAAATATTTACTTATTCCACAAAGCAGAGACCCAAGTAAATAATGTGATCTCACAAGTGGAGCCTGCGCTTTGCCCCCTCCCCCGCCCAGCGCTGCCATATAAGAAGACACCCCATGCACCTGTATGCTGCAAGACCACCAGATCCCTACACAGCCAGAGCCTCCCCAGCCTCCGCCATGAAGCTGGCTGTCACCCTCATCCTGGTCACACTGGCTGTCTACTGCAACTCTGGTGAGTGCCCAGGGTTCTTTTTCCAAACAATGGGTGAGCTGCCCGTACCCTCTCTGTAGCTGCAAAGGGATCCTGGGAATGCTGACTCTCAGAAATCTGGGTCTGATATCTAAGCTTATCTTGTGACTTTGGGGAGAGCACCACACTGTGAGGAAACCTGGGAATGATTCCATCTTGAATATCCATAACCTCAGAATTCCGGGAAATGGAAAAGCCCAGAGGGACAGATGGAGAAGATCCGATATAGATGAGCACGTCTGCCCAACAACAAATGAAATAGGAATAGAGTCCCCAGAGCCTAGACTGGGACTGGCCCCACCATGCCAGAGACATCCCAGAAATGGCGCATCCTCCAGGTTTGAGGTCTCCACACTACTCTGGCACCTACTCAAACAGTAGGTACAGAGACTCAGATCCTCAAAAGAAACCCAACCCAAGGCAAAGTCTTTCATTCTGGGCAGAAAGAAATATTCCATAAAGAGATCTTCCCTTTGACAAATTGTCAATCCAGAGGAGACTTTTTTTTAAACATTTCTGTCCTCTGGAAAAGGGATTCAGGGTCTCTGAGTAGTTCTGATGTCATTAAGAAGAAGGAACAGGGAAATGAGAGAGAGAACAGAGGAAGGAGGAAGGAGAGAGTAAGGGAAGTGAGCACATCACTTCTCCTCCCAATTGTCTTGTCTTTTGGGAACAGTTACCTAACTGTGGTTTTTACTCTGCATCAGCTTCTTTTACTCCCACTTAAAAATGCTGTTGCTATTTTTTTAATAAACAAATTCCAACTAATTCACATGTAAAGTTTCATAATACCCCTAAATATGTTTTGTGACCCTGGGGGTCATGTTATTTTGCAGAGAGCTTTATTTGTTTTTCAGTGTAAATGACATCACTTTATACTGAAATGTTTATTAATTAGATCTCAGAGCTATGTATAGAGTTGGGTGGCTCAGCAAGACAGGACTGAAATATGTGAAGAGCAGACTGGGAATGCATTCGTATATCTGTGTGTATACACATAATAATATCACTTACAAAATGTCATTCACTTTTCTTAACCCGTTCACATACTACTATCTCTTATCATTCTTACAACAATTCAATGAAACAGAAATATTGTTCACACTTTATAGGTGAGAAAACTGAGCCACTGAAAGATAAAGTAACTTGCCTGATGACATTGTGAATTAAAGTTTTGACTTGGTGTGGCCACTTTGTTTTTGGGGGGTTTTTAAATTTTGTTTTGGGTTGTTTTTTGCTGTTGTTTTTGTTTTTGTGGTACTGGAGCTTGAACTCAGGGCCTCATGCTTGCTAGGCATGCCTTCTGCCACTTGAGCCACTCTGTCAGCCCCTTGGTTTGATATGTGAGTCAGGGTCTCTCTATGTAGCCCAGGCTGGCCTTGAACTCTTAATCCTCCTTCCTCAGTCTCCAGAGTGCTGGGATTACAGATATCACCACCATTCCCGCTGGAGTGGCCATTTTGAGTGGGGCCCTGAGCAGGAGTTAGGGAGCCAGATTTGCACACAAGGCAGAGAATTCAAGGACAGGGAATCTGAGGCTCAGTTGGAAGATGGAGGCAAGCAGAGGGAAGGAGGTGCTCCTAGTGGCAGGGACCTGAACAGACAGCACAATCCAGGATGCACTCCAGTTGAAGGGAACACAATAAGATGACAGGCTTGCCTGTGAGCTGAGTGTGCCACAGGCCTAACACCCACACATGCATTCATTTTCCAGACAAGGTTTGAGGCCCATCCTGGGATGGTTCAAGAGCTTTGTCACAGTCCCTCAGTGACACATGGCTTAGATCATTATTAACCATAGATGAGAGGCAAGTCTGGTGGAAACCAAAGCTCTCAGCAGCTTCCTCAGATCTCCCATACTGCATTAAAAAAAAAAAAATCAGACAAGCAGCTTCTCGAATCGATAGGCTGCCTAGAACTCAAGCAAAAACAAATGGTCACCCTACCCAGGAAGCCCACGGAAGGCTCGGGCAAGCCACAAAAAGCTGGCTGTAACCTAGAAAGTACTCACATAGTGCCAAATCATCAATTGCTTGGAGCATCACCAGAACCTACATTCTACTCCACCAAAAAAAGGCTGCTATCTCTTGCTGACCAGCTCAGCTGTTTGCATCTGGGGCAGGCCCAGCAGAGAGCTGGTCAACTTGGAAAAGGGCCTGGCTCCATGTGTTTCCTCTTTCCTGCCCTCTAGAGTCTGTACAGATCTGCCCAGGATTTCTGCATGTCATCGAAACCCTCCTCATGGGCACACTCTCCAGTTATGAGACTGCCCTACAGCCTTTCAACCCCGATCAAAACTTGACAAATGCAGGGATACAGATGAAGCAGCTGTTGGACACCCTCCCCCAGGTGACCAGAGTGAATGTCATGAAACTCACGGTAAGCTGTGTCCTTCACACACATTGGTTACAAGTGGCCTCCCCAAGTTCCTCAACTACAGTGTTACCCTATATTTTTGACCCCATTTCTAATGAGACAGAAGAATCACAAGGCTGATGGATATCCCTGGGCAAGCAGGCACTGCCATTTCTCCAGGCATTTAGCCTCGCTTGCTTTCTTTCTTTTTTCCTTTTTTTTGAAATGGTGTCTGCTCTATTGCCCAGGCTGGCCATGAACAACCACCTCAGCCTCCAAAGTTGCTGGGACAATAGACTTGTGCCCATGTGAATAAATGAACAAAAAACCCCCAAAAAACAAAAAAAAAAAACAATAGACATGTGCCACCACACCCAGCTTCCCATGCTTTTTTCTTTTTATTTTTATCTATCTATCATCTATTTGAGATAGAGTCTTATTATGTAACCCAGGAACTCACTATGTATCCCAGGCTGGCCTCCAACTCACAATCCTCCTGCCACAGCCTTCCAAGTGCTAGGATTACAGGCATGAGCCACCATACCTGGTTGCCTTACCTTTTTTAAAGAAGACTTTGAGAAATACCTTGAATATGTTAGCTCCCCCCTGAAGTTCACTGTACCTCTAAGTCTCCAGTAATGTTTCTGTGAACTACCATCTCTGTCTGAGCTTCATTTACTATTGTGTTGAGCTTTTGTTTCTCTTCTTTGTTTTAGGAGAAAATATTAAAAAGCCCATTGTGTGCATAGGATTTAGGAATCTGAAGACCACCAGATTTCAGAGCCAAAGATGTCCAACTGCCAAAACCCTGTCACCAACCCTGTCACCACCTCCTTGCCCTCCCACCTCTAGCCTGACCTTGCTCTCTGCAATAAACCACAAGCATCTCATTTGTGCGCCTCCGACCTCCTTTTCCTATATCTGCCGGAGTGAGAAACTGGGCTGGCCTGGGTAAAGTTAGCAAGAGCAAAAGGGACAGAATTAGGCCCCAGAAGAAACCTCGGAAACCCCCCTCCAAAGTTCCTTCCTCGAGCTTTCTGGATTTTACACTAAAACAGCTCAACCTCCCTCCCATAGATCCTACTATCTACTCATCTTACTATCTACTCAAGGTCTCCAACTCCACTTGTCTGACAGACCCTCTGCAGTCTGGTCCAAATCTCACTGAGCTCTAGCTCCACCCTCCCAGCAGAAGCATCTGGGTCGTCTGTGAACCCTTCCCCCTCCTGTCAACTGAGACTGCCTCAAAAGGGCCTCTGGAATCATCTCCCTCTGTGTCCACAGGCCACAACAGCCACACTACCCAGCCAGGGCCCTGCAGTGCATTTGCCACATAAGTGACCACAGGGACTTTGATCAATTGCTAATCCATCCACTGTACACCCTACCCCATCCTTCCAAGCTTCAGTACTGTCATCATAAAACTCCAAATCCAGCACAAGGCCCATGTCCACCCGTCACCCACACTCCCACTGCTCCATCACTCTGCTCAATCCACACATTCCCCCACCGCCCTCTGCCTCAGTTCTTCATCTTTGAAGAACTGGGAAGAACTGGCCTCACATTTGGTAGACATGTGCGCTACCATTTAAGCCACTCTGCCAGGCCTTTTTGTGTTTTTTCGAGATAGTGTCTCCCAGACTATTTCCCAGGGCTGCCTTTGAACCACCAACCTCTTAATCTCTGCCTCCTGCGTAGCTAGGATTACAGGGGTGAGACATTGGCTCAGTTCTTAAAAGCAAAACCCTTTCCACCCCAGGACCTTTGTACAGGCTACACAGCATCAACTGCTCAAAAAGCATCTTAATTGGTTTTTGTAAATCACTCTAGAGCAAAACGTGCAAAGAAAGAACTCATCCTAAAAAGTTATTCCACCTTGATCTAACTAAAACCCCCAAAACACCCCTTTTCTCGTGACAATCAGTCCCGGCCAAGCCACACCATCCACAGTCGCTGAATAAAGGTGAGGGTGTGCAGAGGGGCTCCAGGAATGTAAAAGGTGGCGGCAGAGGGCACGGAAGGAAGGAAGCAACCTAGGAGCTCCCCAGTGCTGCAGTCGCGCCACAAATTTACAGCCACGTGGGAGGGCGGGGCCGCACCTGCCCTGCGCGCCTCCGCCACGAGGAGGCAGTGTCGGCCACGGTGTCTGGCCACCCGCAGCCCCAGGCTCTAAGGCGCTAACCTTGAGCCAGTGGGAGAAAAAGATGGTTAAGACATGGCTGTCTTTTAGGGAGCTGTGTCGTCTGATTTTCTTAAATTTGATTTTTGAAGCCTTTGTAAAATCAGAGTTCTGAGGAAAAGCAGGGGCAGTCACATATGGTGTTGTGGCTGGATTGAACCCTGCCAGTGGATGTGTCATTCCTTTTAGAATTACCAATAATTCCACTCCCTGAGGGCTCCAAGGGCAAGGATGACAGAATCTGGATCCCAAGATGGTCCTGAAGGTAGAGAGAACCAAGGGGAGCTGGTGGCTGCCTTCCACCTCCACCTGCCTGGTTTTTAAAGTCTTGAAGCCGAATCCACAATCCAGTAATCTTTATCCGTTGCTTGCTCACTGGTGGGTGTTTTCACAATATCTCATTTATTCCTTGCACAACTCTAAGTGCAGCCTCAATCCCTCAATTCCCTGGAGAATCTCCAGGGCCAGTGAACTGAGAGATGCTGATGAGAGACGTCTGCCTACCCCCAACACACACACTGTGCACACAAGTTGTAAAGACGCCACACCCGGCCCTTCATTGCCTGCCACAAAGGAGAGACTGGGATTGTAAAAGTTCCTGGGTAGGTCAGGGGGATGGGCGATTCCAAAAGAGATTCTTTGCAGCAGGTTGGGCTCTCATGCCACCTCCCCAACCCCTCACTCCCCAGGCCTGAGATTCTGCTGCATGCAGGTTATCCTGCAGGCACATACCTGTGCCTCCTGTGGACCATCCACTTAGGTGAGTGTTGTTCAAAGGATAAGGATCCAGAGCCATAAAAGTTTCAAAATTTTAATTACCTGTTCATGGCTGGGGAAATATTTACTTTGGGCAAATAGTGCTGATAACTGAGGATAAAAAGGAGCATAATTCCATCACAGTTGGTCTCTGTCCTTAAAGGAGTTGTAGATGCTAAGGAGCTCCTTTAACACAGAGCACTGCACTTGAAGTTTTTAAAAAGCAGAATGCAAATAGTATCCGATGTCAACCATAGAAAGAGCTCATTATCTTCGAGATGCTTGTGAAATCAGAGGAAATTAGGAATGCTCCTAGGATTCTTTTCGTCTGCATGTGTTACTCACGCTAGTTAACCAAATAAGACAGCACTGATCCACAAACTAGGATTGCAGTGCCAAGCTCAGCCCATGGCCTGTTTTCTTAATGAATCTCAAGCTAAGAATGGTTTTTATATTTGAAGAATGAAGAAAGAGAAAGAGGAAGAGAAGGAGAAAAAGTCCCCCCCTTGTACTATGTAAATATACATTTATATAATCAGCCATTTTCACTATGAATATGTAAAACTCTAAACCACAAGAAAGCCAATGTATAAATATAAGCTTCTACAAACTATGTGAAAAAAAAAACCTTCAAATGTACCTGAACAAAGGAAGATTTAAAACAAATCAATTTTTAGCATTCTAATTTTAGCTCCTGAGGAGCCCAGGGGAAAGAATGACCACATTTTTTATGGTGGTAGTGGCATTTGAATTCAGAGCCTCATTCTTGCTAGGCAGACTCTCTGCCACTTGAGCCACACCCTGCCAGTCCCTTTTGGCTTTAATTATTTTTCAGGTAGGGTCTCATGTTGTTTTTTGCATGAGGATGATCTCAAACCACTTATAGCCTCCCTTTGTATCTGGAATCACATCCAGCACCATGACCTTCAGCTTGTTGGTTGAGATGAAGGTCTTGCTAACTTTTTGCCAGGGCAGTCCTCTAACCTCGATCCTGAGTAGCTGAGATTATAAGCACTAACCATGGCTCCTGGCATGACCACATTAATTCATGACATTGTCAAGAAAACTAAATCTGGGTGAAAAAAAAAATTTTTTTTGAAAAGTTTACCCCTGTTCCAGGCACCAGTGGCTCACGCCTGTAATCTTAGCTCCTTGGGTGGTAGAGATCAGGAAGATCAAGATTCAAAGCCAGCTCCTGGAAAGTAGTTCGTGAGACCCTATCTTGAAAATACCCAACAAAAAGAGGGCTGACAGTGACTCAAATGGTAGCGTGCCTGCCTAGCAAACATGAGACCCTGAGTTCAAACCCTAGTACTTCCAAAAAAAAAAAAGGTTACCCCCACAATCTGCAATCAAAAGAATTTTACTCTTGAAGATAGCTAAAGAGGAATGGTGGTTATCAAACATTGCCATCACAGTACAAAATCTAAGAACTAAGCCTGGCATAGTGGAACACACCTGTAATTCCAGCACTAAGAAGGAAGAGGCAGAGGATGGTGAGTTCGAAGCCTGAACTACATAGCAAGGCCCTGTCTCGAAAAGAAAAGGAATAAGACATGCAAGACAGGCACCCAGCTCTTTTTGATTTTTTTTTTTTTTAAAAGATGGGGCCTACCTATGCTGCTCAGGCTAGCCTTAAACTCCTAGGTTCAAGTGATTATCTTGTCTTACCATCCCAAGTAAGTAGCTGGGACTACAGGTGTAAACAGACCTGGCTTGAATTTCTTTTTAATTTGATACTACCTGCCTGAGCTTTGAACTCTTTCTATTACAAGATTAAACTTCTTGCTTACTTCTAGAGGCAGGAAACTCTTACTCCTCTTCTTCTAGCCCCTTTACAATAGCTAGAACACTCTGATGTCCTGAAATATTCTGAGTATAATATTTATTGTTGCAGCACTAATGATTGAACCCAAGGTGTCATGTGTTTGAGGCAAGCACCTTACCACTGAGCTACATTCCTGGCCCCTAAGTGTAATATTTAGATGCAGTGCTTTTAGGGTTGACAGCTTTATTTTATCCTATACCAGCTGGTTAGAGCAATAGATAAGGTCAAGATAAAAGAATTAGCATAGGTGCTAGATTTTTTTCTTTATTCTCCCCACCACCACCACCAGCACTACCATCATAATTGTCATTGTCATCACCATTGTCATTTCACCTTATTCAACTCCTAGGGACGAACTGCAGTTTACTTTCTTCCTCT